CCAGGCTCCTGCCTTCGGATCAGCGCGGTGCGCCGGCCGCAGCGCACCAGCCGCGGCGGCCATTGTAGGGTGAACCAACGGCAAAGGAAGACCTTTCTCTCTGTCTCTCTAAAGTGGGTTAAAGCCCTGGCCTGAAGTACCAACATCCCATATGGGCGCCGGTTCTAGTCCCGGCTGCTCCTCTTCCGATCCAGCTCTCTGCCATGGCCTGGGAAAACAGCAGAAGATGGCCCACATCCTTGGGACTCTGCACCCACATGGGAGACCAGGAAGAACTCCTTGCTCCGGATTGGCACAGCTCCAGCCGTTGCGGCCATCTGGGGAGTGACCGGCAGATGGAGGACCTCTCTGTCTCCACCTCTTTCTGTAACTCTGTACTTCAAATAAATAAAATAAATCTTTAAAAAAAAAAAACCCTTCAAGATATGTGCTATTGGACTCCACGTGAGAAACAATAGAGGTTCCAAATACTTAGGTAACCTGCCCCACATCACAGAGCTGGTTTGTAACAGAGGAGAAAGAATCAAAACAAGAACTGTCAAGCTACCAGGACCATGAATCCATCAGATCTAGCAGTTCCCTAAGCAGGTCACAAGACTAAAGAGACATAAGTATAAGAAGCCCTCACACTGTTGAGTTGGCCACCTGTCGCTCCCCCTCTTCGTGGAGGAACGACACAGGACCCTGCGCTGTTCTTTCGTCTGCTCGGCCCTCCCCGGGTTTGCTGCTGGTTCTTCCCGGGTTGGCTACTATCCCTTCCACCTCCGTGGAAGGGCAGTTCCCCCGGCCGCATTCCCCACTTCCGCAGGGGAGTGGCACACTGCCGGCCGGTTCTCTCGGGGGCTGCACGGGTGTTCCTTCAGCTAGATGTTCCCCATAGATGTTCCCGGTGCATGCCGTCTCTCTCCTCCTTTATAGTCCTCCTCCGCCAATCCTAACTCGGCTGCCCACACGCCGAGTACGCTGCTCTCCTCCAATCAGGAGCAAGTCCTACAGTTTATTAGTTGAACTGGAGGCAGCTGTGTGGAAGCTGTTTACTTCTCTCCCAGCGCCATATTGTGGGAGAGCAGATGCATACAATAAGTCTTAATTCCAGTAACTCAGTCTAGTCCGGTTGCTCCCCACAGCCACCAGCAGCACAGGTCTCAGTCCACACCCTCATGTGTTTAATATGGTCATTTCAGGGTAAAGCCAATGATTTGTCATTTTCAACACGGCCACCCCTCCACTGTGCTTGCTCCCCTGAGAGACCAACAAGCTTCAACAACCCCACATGCCTGCCCCAGCCCCTTCATCCATTAAACAGGCAGTCTGGACTCCTTATTCTCTGAAGCAACTGCCACCTCTAAGACGGAGAGCACGTGGGTGGGATTACCGAGTCTGCAACACCACCATTCTCACAGCCCGATCTTAAAGAGAAGACTCTCACCCACAGAGCTGCCGGGCCGGGAGACTGCGGAACAGCATGCAAGTGTTCTTAAAAACTTCTTATTTTAATTCAAAGTAGATAAACATTTGTTCCTTTGCCATTTTCCCGAGCAGGTGTGATGCCTTCCTTCACCACTAGGAGATGCGGTGATGAGTTCTAGGGAGAGTTAACTATGCCCCCACCCTATCATTCGCCATTTCCTTCAAGTGGAAAGAAAACTTAACATGGTTAAGAACAAATCCGAGAGCCGACTCTCTCTAGATTTTCAAGTTTTTTCCCAGTCTTTTATAGCTGTTTCTCCTACACTTAATTTGACAGCAATTTTTTAGTAACTCACCTCGGTGGAGTCTTTTTAAAGTATTCAACATAGTTTCCCTAGAAACAAGAATATTATTTCTTTCCACACTCCCACTTCAGCAGTTTAATTAAACTATAAGTCAGATTTTGTCACTCCTCATCTCTCATGCTCCCACCCAGCTCACTGAAAGGACAAGCTAAAGTCTGTCCAAGGACCAACATGCTCCACCTCCTGTGAGCTCCACCTACCTCCAATGGCCAAGCAATCTCCTGCCTCAGACCTAACCCTTATTTTTTCTTTTAAGATTTATTTATTTTTAGTTGAAGGAGAGAGATCTTCCATCTACTGGTTCACTCCCCAAATGGCCACAACCACCAGGGCTGGGCCAGGCCAAAGCAAGGAGTTTGGAACCCCATCTGGGTCTCCTATGTGGGCTGCAGAGGCCCAAGCATGTTAGCCATCTCAGCTGCTTTCTCAGGGTCATTAGCAGGGAGCTGGATGGAAAGTAGAGTGACCAGGTCTGGAACTGGCACTCCAATCTGAGATGCCAGCGATGCAGGTAGTGTCTAAGCTCTCTGCACCACAACACTGCCCAAGACCTCACACTTGTATTCTCCCCTCTGGAATTCTCTTCCTCTGAATGCATGTGGAGGTGCTCATATAACTGCCTCTTTCTGATATTTGTTCAAATGTCACCTTCTGCTGTAATTTGACCAGAACTTCAGTGTGTCCACCACAGTTCCCTGTGTAGAAATGGCATCCTCATTATGAGGAATTAAGAGGGTGGAAATTTAAGCAATGGCAGAGTTTAGAATTGGGGTCTTTGGGGGTGATGAGGATTAAATAAGGTTTTTGGAATGGAGTCCCCAAGACTGAGCCCTGGTGAGTGAGAGAGACCTGCCTCACAGGCACACACACGCCCTGTCTCTTGCTCTGCACCACCTCAGCAATCAGCCAGCAAGAGGGGCATCACCAGATTTGACCTCCAGAATTGTGAGACAAAAATAAATCTCTGTTCTTATACCTCACCCAGTCTGTGGTACTGTGTTCTTAGCAAAGAAAACAGATTAATAAACCTTTTCAGTAAAGCCTTCCCTATTGCCCTACTTAATTATGTATGTATGTATGTATGTATGTATGTATTTGAAAGGTGGTTGGGAACAGAGAGAGACAGAGATCTTCCATCTGCTGGTTCATATCCAGAGTGCACACAACAGGCAGGGCGTGGCTAGGCCAAATCTAAGAGGCTGGAACTCAACCTGGGTCTCCCACATGAGAGATAGGGGACTAAGTACTTGCTCTATCAACTGCTGCCTCCCAAGGTACACATTCGCAGGAAGCCGGAATCAGAAGTGGAGCAAGGATTCAAACTCAGGCACTCTGATCCCAAAACCCTAATTAAAACAGCCACCCTGATCCCCTCCCGAGTCTTCTCCATTCCCCTACCGTCACAGTGTTTTTCTCTATAGCACACCTTTGGGGCATTCTCTGCATTTGCCTTATGATCATCCAAGCTTCACCAAGGCAGGGAGTTTAATCTGCTTCCACAGTGATGCATCACAATGCCTAGAACAGCAGATCCATAGCTGTCACTCCATATTGGTGTCATAATAACCCCTATTACTGTAACACATGGATTATTTCTCTGACTGAATTGTGTAAGTACAGTACTACATTTGGGCTACAGAAGGTTCAGGAACAAACACAGCAGGGTCTTGGTAAACCAAGTCACCTGGAGGGTCAGGAGTGATTTGGTGCAAGAGCACACAGGCCACTAACCACAGACAGCTGTGGGCTCCAGGTTCCGCCAGGGCCTGGCATGGAGGAGCGCTTCTCCCTTGAACTTGATCCAGCTAACCTCCCAAATAACACGGAGCAAAGTCAACTCTGGAAGACAGTCCAGCAACTGTTCTTCACATACAGGTGGAATGAAGAGAGAAGACACGTTGTCTTGTTCTAGTCCACTCCTATAATGACCAATTACTGTTGGCCAATCTCTTCATCTCTGTCCCTCATTCTCTACTAGGAAAGGGGAGGGCTTAGAATAACACATGACCCACTTATTTCACTGGCCTATTAGCAGCACCGAGCAAATCAATAGCTATGAAAATACAGTGACAAATTATGAAGCACTCTATACAATAAGCAATTGTCTTCATATTAACAGAGATGACTGACTTGTCTATAATATCTACTATAACTCCCCAACCTGATGATGTAGTCGACAGCACTGCAACTTTAAAAATGATCCTAAAATGTATTAAAGTCTAAAAAGAAAGATTGTTTAAGAGCATGGAATGAGAAGGAGAAGGAAAATGGCTTTTTTTCCCTGATTCCTTAATAAAAAAAAAAGCAAAAAAATATTTAAATCTCCCAAGTAGTAACTAAAAGCTATAAAGTTCAGATTTAAGAATATCACTGTGAATATCTATAATTATCTAGGCTCTCAGATACTTCAGATAATTTTCATTTATTTCAATACCACGAGGATAATCCAAGATGACTTATTAATATCACACATGTCAATAACAGGTTGTGATGGGATTGAGCAAAGCTTTTCCAACCATCTCAGTTCTGTTTTATTACAGCATTTATTAAACCAAAATAAAAAAGTGGTGAAGAATGACTTGTCATACCATTTATTAGAGTTGATGGAGTGTAGACAATCTCTTCAATAAGGCTTTAACACACTGTTATGCACCACAGTACATTACTAATGAAAAGAAATGCATGAGACTTGCAGGAGCTTATCCCCCAAGGCATTCCGACATTAAATTCAAAATCAATTCTACCCTATATGGCAAAAGTTCAGAGACAAAATGCTAATTTGTTTGTTGTTTACCAACACTCAGGTTTCATTCAGAGCAACGATCAGACTACCTATTGGACCAAATTTAGCTTTTTTGGAAGGCGGGTCCAAAGGGAGAAGCCAATACAACAGGATAGAGACCCTGTGCCCTCTTCATATCTGACAAGAGGATGGGATCCCATTTTCTCTCCGACTGAAAGAACACAAAGGCCAGCCACAGAACACAGGCTACGTGTTGAGTGTTTGAACTTCGCTTCCATCACCCAAGTATTCAAGTGGAACTAATGCACTCTGGAAAGGTATTAAGTCATTGAGCACAATTGTGCCAGGATACGGGCTAATCCGCAAACTGTGAAGCAAAATCAACAGAGTTTACAAGGACAGGATCACCTCACTCACTCAGTAACCTCAATCAAGCATTTTACATTTAAAAAAAAAATACACCAAATATATTAAGGACCTACCGCCAACAAGGACCCCTGATAGATACAAGCACCTGTGGGGGAAAAACAAAACAAGAATTAAAAGGGATGCAAAATAAACCCAGAGGCCCTGCCCCTGCAGAATTGCTGCTAAAACTGCATCTACACGCATCTTAATAAGCAAACTGCTTTTTCCAAAATCTTAAAAGCTTGAGCATTCTCTCCCTGGGGAAAGAGCCCCATACACCAAAACAACATTTCTTGGACATCGATGAGGGAAAGCATCATTAAAAGTGATCGTTTGAATTTTAAAATAAATGTGTTTATGATGGCACACTATAAATACAGTACAGATTTTTCCTTTGCGACACATCAGGAAAGTCCCCATAATCCAGTCCCAATTTGCTTATCCAAACTGCTCCTCCACTCTTCACTTCCATAAATTCCCCAGTCCAGCCCAGAGACCAGCTTAGGATCTACAATATATTTCCATGTCCAAAGGCCTTTGTTCATTTTCGTTTCCAACAAGAGATACATTTGGTCTATTCAAGCCCCTTGAACTTGATCCTATCTCCTTCCTGAAACTCTACCAGCCCACAGGATTACTACCCGCTTCCCTCTTTGAGTTCATAGCACTTTGTGCCTACACCGATCACTTGTGAAATCATTCTTGGGTATTTCCTTGTCCCAGCCTTACCAATGATAGAATGCTGCATCCACTCCACCAAATACATAAAAATGTACAAGGGTGCCTTTTTAAACTGTATGGGAAAATTGAATTAAAAGAGCATGCTATTATGGTGCAAAAAAATTCAAAATTTGTACATAGTTTTTTTCATTATATGCACTTTCCATGAATGTTGGAGGATCTTCCAGGCGTGTGTGTGTACATGCGTCTGTGTGTGTGTGCGTCTACCCCTTTGCAGTTCCTGCTTCTTCACACAGATACCTAAGTATCTGATTAATACAAAACACCCATTTCACACTTTTTTTTTTTTTTTTTTTTTGACAGGCAGAGTGGACAGTGAGAGAGAGAGACAGAGAGAAAGGTCTTCCTTTGCCATTGGTTCACCCTCCAAGGGCCACCGCGGCCAGCGCACCGCGCTGATCCGATGGCAGGAGCCAGGTACTTATCTGGTCTCCCATGGGGTGCAGGGCCCAAGTACTTTGGGCCATCCTCCACTGCACTCCCTGGCCACAGCAGAGAGCTGGCCTGGAAGAGGGGCAACCGGGACAGAATCCAGCGCCCCGACCGGGACTAGAACCCGGTGTGCTGGTGCCACAAGGCAGAGGATTAGCCTAGTGAGCCGCGGCGCCAGCCCATTTCACACTTCTAACAGATTAAATCATTTTATAGGACAGTGGTTTAAATGGTAGTTACTTGAGAATCCTCCTCTTGAGTTCATGACCCCCAATACACTCTTCTCCCTCTTTTCACTCAATTTTTCTTCCGATGGGCTGCTTATAAACTGATACATCTTTATATTTTCCAGTCATTAAGTACCAAATGAAAAACAACAGATGAATTGTTTCTAAATGGAAAAGAAGGCTGAATTTCAATGGGACAGAGTACATATTCTTGAACAACTAGCATATCAACAATTAAGACTCTAACATAAATATTTGAAAATAAAATGGCAAGCTTGATCTTAAAAAACATATGCAGATTCTCAACCAATTTTTGAGCAGCACAACAGGGGTTGATTTAACTGAGAAAGAGGTAAGCATTGTGCTACCCGCCACTCGCTCAAAAATTGAGGTTGCAAAACAGATAGCAACTGCACCACACCCCAAGGTTCATGTTGACAAGGTACCACAGTTGGCTTCCAGAGAGAGGAGGGCATATTTTACTGCAGTGCTGCCCTCTAACAGATGACTCATGAAACCTCAAAAATATTTCTCAGGAATGGGCCAGTCCACTCTCTCCACCAACAGTGAAAGGAAGGACAATCTTTAAAGAAAGTGAGATGACTGCTTATGCTGTATTTGAATCAAAGAACTCTGTAGGCCAATTTACTGAATTGACTTCCCTGCCCTTGACATTCAAATGAGGATTACTCGATATAAAACTTATGGGGGAAAATTTATAATTGACTTATTTTTCCTCAAGAAATCCTGTTCAAAAGGCAAAGTATTTCAGTCTACAGTACATCACAGATATATAAATATATATATGTATAGGTGTACATGTATATATATATATCAAATAATCTTATATATCTCAAATATATATCAACACAATTCATTTTCTAAATTATTTGAATGAGGGCCAGTGTTGTGGCACAGCAGGTTAAGCCCCTGTCCACAACTGTCCCAGCCACACCACTTCTGATAACGGCCTAGGTAAGCAGCAGAGGACACCCCAAGTACCTGAGCCCCTGCCACTGGAGACCCAGATAAAGCCCCTGGCTCCTGGCTTTGGCCAGGCCCAGTCCCAGATGTTGCAGCCATTTGGAGAATGAATCTGTGGGTGTTAAATAAATAAATCTTTTAAAAAATTTAAAAGTAAATTACTTTGGACATTTAATTTTTATGTTTTAAAAAAAAAGTTATCACAAAGATCACCATCACACAGATAAAATTTAACAAAATTAACCTTTCTTTTCCTTTCAGCCCATTCATTTTTTGATGGTTTAACCATGAAAACTTTGACACTAGTCTTTAATCAATAGATAGAATTCCATATGTATATCAGGGCCGGCGCCGCGGCTCACTAGGCTAATCCTCCGCCTAGCGGCGCCGGCACACCAGGTTCTAGTCCCGGTCGGGGCGCCGGATTCTGTCCCGGTTGCCCCTCTTCCAGGCCAGCCCTCTGCTGTGGCCCAGGAGTGCAGTGGAGGATGGCCCAAGTGCTTGGGCCCTGCACCCCATGGGAGACCAGGAAAAGCACCTGGCTCCTGGCTCCTGCCATCGGATCGGTGCGGTGCGCCGGCCGCAGCGCGCCGGCCGCGGCGGCCATTGGAGGGTGAACCAACGGCAAAGGAAGATCTTTCTCTCTGTCTCTCTCTCTCACTGTCCACTCTGCCTGTCAAAAAATAAAAAAAATAAAAAAATAAAAAAAAAAAATTCAACAGGATGTCTTGAAGTATATATAATTTTTATATATGATCTTTAAAATCAACAAAATTTAACTTCTAGAAAAAAACACACACAAGATTTAACCTTTAAAACTGACCTCTGGCCGGCACCACGGCTCACTAGGCTAATCCTCTGCCTGCGGCACCGGCACCCGGGGTTCTAGTCCTGGTTGGGGCACCAGTTCTGTCCCAGTTGCTCCTCTTTCAGCCCAGCTCTCTACTGTGGCCCAGGAAGGCAGTGGAGGATGGCCCAAGTGCTTGGGCCCTGCACCCGCATGGGAGACCAGGAGGAAGCACCTGGCTCCTGGCTTCTGATCGGCGCAGTGCGCCAGCAGTAGTGGCCATTTGAGGGGTGAACCAACGGCAAAGGAAGACCTTTCTGTCTAACTCTTTAAAAAAAAAAAAAAAAAAAAACGACCTCTGAGACACGCTTGGGATGCATTCACCACACACCAGAATGTCTCAGCTACTCTGCTTCCAATCCAGCTTCCTGCTAATGTGCCTGAGAAGGCAGTAGATGGTGGCTCAAGTAGTCAGGTTCCTGCCATCTACATGGGAGACCCAGATGGAGTTCCTAGCTCCTGGCTTCAGCGGGCCCAACCCCAGCTGTTACAAGCATTTGGAGAGTGAACCAGTGGATGAAAGATAGCTCACTCGCTCACTCGCTCACTCTCTCTCTTCCTCCCTTTCAAATAAATAAATCCTAAAAAAAAAAGACCATCTTCAAATACATCATTTTGTTGTTACCACAATGGTAACTGCCAAAGTCAATTTCCTCTCAAAGCTCCAAAATAAACCGAGTATCTTAAGCAGTGCACAAATACCCATCCCAGATCTCATTTTTGGAAACTTAAACAGAGGTTATAAATTCACTGCAATATGAAAACATAAAACAGCTCTGAGTGTGGCACCACATCCATACTTGGTTAAGCCAAACATCTGCTGGAGACTCAAGTCAAAATGGTGTGTGGCTGCTGATAAATTCTATCACCAGGAAAGGAAATCATTCAATTTGGGTCACTCTGTGATGTACAATTCCAAGAGAAATAAGCTTTCCCCTCCAAGGGCTTGCCTGAAACAGACTAGCTCTACCCGGAAGGCAGCTGCATGAATGAGTCTCCATTAACACCGTTTCCAAAACCTCATTTCTACTCTCTTGAGAAAATAAAGCATTCCAGTGTGATGCCCAGTCTTATCAAACATTTATAACCATCCACAGCCAGATGCAGCCATCCGAAGCAAGCATCTTTCTCCTCCCTAGCACGGGCCACACACCCACCAGCAGATGAAGCAGGAGGTTGGTGGCACTGGGTGCTAGACGCAGTTTCTGCTTCAGAACCTGAGCAGTAGACTTTTCGCTGATGGGTCAATTCTCATAGCATGGAAGACAAGTCAGCCCCCATCCGTTGTTCTTTGTCTTAAGGAGCATTGAATGGCAGCAGTCTATCCAGGTATGGATTTGGCTGGATTTTAAAGGAAACTCCAGCTCAAAGAGAATTCTGAGAGTTGGTGCAGCTCTGGAAGGAGAAACAGGCCTTCTTCAAGGAAAGGGGGAGACATGAGAGACAATGGAAGCAGAGAGCTTTAACCCAGAACGCTGCCTGTTGCAGGGGACAGAACACAGCGGAGATGCCTCAGCAGTTCCCTTCCGGCCCTCCAAGACCATGAGAGACAGCACGAAGCTCTACAGGGACAAGCAATTACAAGAGCTCTTCCAAAGGCTCATGGAAAAAGGAATCAAACCATGCATTTATTTTGGTGCCAAAACATTTTGATACCCCTGCAAACAGGTCTTCAAAAAGTTCATAAGGAGCTGGCATTTGCACAGTGGTTAAGACGCTGTTTAGGACGTTCCCTGTCAGAATGCTGGGTTTGAGTCCCGCTGCTCTCTCAATCGCAGCTTCTGGCTAATGAACACCCCCAGTGGCAGCAGGGGTACTCGGTTCCCTGCCACCCATGGAGGTTTGAGTTCCTGGCCCAACTGTAGCCTGGCTCAG